AAAGATCCATTTTCTGATGTATTCATGATGACAGATCTGTATCAATTTGTGTCTTTGATGTCTGTCGGGTTCGGCGCGAACTGTAATTACAGGAAGGACCCGTCGTCCAGAATTGCGTCCTGTAAAAGGGTAAAAGGCACGGTCCCCTCCCCCGTATGCGCGGGTGAGGGAAGATTATGAACATTACAGATCTTTTGTCATCTGAGAGAAGCCTGTGACACGCTCCCAGACAGTAATGGAGAGATAAGTGGCGCACTCGTTGTACCTGCGTCTCGCGGTAGCGCGGCGAAGGTCACGGCTATCGGAGAACAGATGCTCGACGCGCATTGTTCTTATAAAACGCGGACGTGGAATTTACATGAAGTTCTCGCACAAAAGCCGCGTTACCAGGAGACGCTTTACGAGGGTCATTAAATCGCGTTTCCCATTTCGCTCGGCGGTTTCTGAAGTAGCAAACAAAAGTGAGAACTCCCTCGTCTTTTGTCATACCTCTCCTGGCGGAGGGCGATAAAACGCCGCATTGTGGGGCGGCGCTTGTGATCACACGGAGACACAGATCATCAATTATCATTAGGCAGCCGATAACCGCCGCACACAAAACGTGAACCCGATCGCTAGACTCTCATGGAAGATCTAAAGGGTGCGGATACTTTGTATCAAAGTGCACTCTTATGTACAGCACCCTGCCAGACCCTCCCACCAGCCATGTACAGCACTCTGCAGCCCTTCCCACCAGCTATGATCTGCCTGCATTGGGAAGCACAGAGACCTAGTGATGATATTACTAGGGTCTAAAATATCTGTCTCATTATCTATCTATCTATCTATCTATCTATCTATCTATCTATCTATCCTATCTATCTATCCCAATATCATATCATATAAAACCTTGGTTCTCAACTGGTGGGTCGCGGCCTTGTGTTCAGTGGGTCCCTGTGCACCTTCCACTTTTCTAGGTGAGAGGCTCCTCTGCCTCCCCCTAGCGCAGCACTGTCAGTTCTCACACCGAGCAGCCATTCAAAATATGCTGCCCGGCACCGAGTGTCAGCTTGAGGGGGCGTGAGCTCCATCCATATGTGCATTGCTTACAGCTCCCTCGCATGTCCTGTAGAGGTGCCTGGACCAGAATGACGTCACGTTCTGGCTCTCGGTATCTCTACAGGGTGTGCAAGGGAGCTGTACAAGCAACACACATATGTATGGAGCTCCGTCACAGCACAGCAGCCCACACCGGACCCCATGCTAAGGATCCACTCCAGTTCTCATAAGGTAGGGAGACTGGGTGGACTCTGTGTGTGAGATTGTGTCTGTGGTTGTGTGTTTTTGAGGGCCCATTCACACTGGTACAGTGCGTTAATCGCACAGTCCCGTGAGATTAACGCACTGCACTTCGCACCTACCACGCGTTTTGGTGTGAGAAGTGCATTGCATTGCCATTCATTTGAATGGCACCCCAAATGCACCTCCCACCCACAGTTCTATTGGCCGCATCGGAACGTGCAGTACTGCAAAGCCGTGCGTTCCATTGCAGTGCGACTTGGGTCACGACTTAATTACCCAGAACAAATGTGTGTCCTGAGGTTACACAGGTTGAGAACTGGGAGGAATATATAGGACATTGGGAGGAATATATAGGGCACTGGGAGGAATATATAGGGCCTTGGGAGGAATATATAGGGCATTGGGAGGAACGCTCCGTGACACTCTCATGTCTAGTCTAGCTTTCTAGTAAAATGATACTGTTATTTATTGTAATATACTATTTGTATCAGTGACTCCCCCATGTATGTGCCTTCCGGCAGACTGAACTCATTAATAGTGGATCTGTCTGGATTCTATAGCATCCCATAAACCCCGAGTCAGCAGAATACAAGGGAGGGTCAGTCTGACGCGGCTCTGTCTTGGCTTTGTGTAGATTATGGTTTTGGCAGTGAGCGCCATGGGCAGACAGAAATAGTCACACATCTGTCCGTCTGTCTTCTACAACCTCCTCCTTCGGCCGTATCCCTTGTCTGTCCTTCCTTCTTCACCCCAGCAGAGCCAAAGTATACAAACAGCCTTTTTATAACAGAACCGGGCCCGTGGTGAAAGAAATCAGCTTTACTTTATTAGAAAGTTCCCATAACAATCCCAAGTGATTAACATCTCTCTCTCTCTCTCTCTCTCTCCCTTTTTAAGTTACAGAGTTGCCATTGGTTACAAAGACACCATTTACCTTCTCTATGGGTCACAAAATTTACATTGATTACAAAGTTGCCATTGATTTTCTTTGTGGGTTAGGCAGTCACCATTTTTTACAAGTTTCCATTTAATTTCCTCTCTGGGTTACAGAGTTGTCATTGGTTACAAAATTGCCATTGCTTTCTTCTTTGGGTTACAGTGTTGCCATGGATTTCCTTTTTAGGTGACAGAGTTGCCATTGTTTGCAAAGTTGAACCTAATTTCCTCTTTGGTTTACAGGATTGCCATTGGTCACAAAGTTGCAACTAATTTAGGTTATAAAATTGCCATTGATTCCCTTGTTGGGGTTGCAGAGTTGCCATTGATTCCCTTGTTGGGGTTGCAGAGTTGCCATTGATTCCCTTGTTGGGGTTGCAGAGTTGCCATTGATTCCCTAATTTGGGTTACAGAGTCGCTATTGGTTACAAAGTTGCCATTGATTCCCTACTTTGGGTTACAGAGTCGCTATTGGTTACAAAGTTGCCATTAAGTTTCTCTCTGGAGTCGTCATTGGTTACAAAGTTGCCATTTATTCCCTTCTTGGGGTGGCAGAGTTGTCATTGGTTACAAAGTTACCTTTGATAATCTCTTGAGAGTCGCCATTGGTTGCAAAGTTGACATTGATTTCCTCTTTGGGTGACAGAGTTGCCATTGGTTACAAAGTTGCCATTGATTCCCTTGTTGGGATTGCAGAGTTGCCATTGGTTACAAAGTTGCCTCTGATTTCTTTTTTTGGGGGTGACAGCATTGCCACTGGTTACAATGTTGCAATTCATTTCCTCTTTTGGTTACGATGTTGCCTTTGATTTCCTCTTTGGGTTGATTTGAATCAGAGCAAATTATACAGCAAATTGTCCAAATCATAATAAAGAAGTCATTTTATATCCACCGCTGACAGAATGTATTACTCGCTTCCCACTAACCGTTAAAGAGTTTAATGTCCTCGTTAATATCACTGGCGACTTTTTATTTGGCTTTTTATGGCCGCAATGTTTTCTGCTGATCATCACGTCCGGCTCACTGAAAAGACATCAAAGCGAATATTTAAAGCGGAACTAAACCGAGAAAGTAAAAAATGTCGAGCCGTCATTGCAGAACAAGCACTCCATGTCTTCTCTGCAATAAAACAAACTCACCCGAATGTTCACAGTCCTTTTAGAATGTACACTGGAACGCAGCTACGTTGGTGGAAGGTTGGTTTAGTGTGTTGGGGTGCCATTTAGGTTTTTAGGCACCTCATTATAGTGCACTGTGGTACATTTGGTGCTGTGTGCTGCAAGTTTTACTGCAACACATAGGTCTGAATGAGCCCTTAGTAATTAATATTTATATTATTATTATTATACAGGATTTATATAGCACCAACAGTGTGCTCAGCGCTTTACAATATAAGGAAGACATTACAATCCATTTGGCACGTTGTTCTGCGCCCAATCCGTGGCGCGCACATGCGCGCAAGCGTAGTACGGGAGCTGGGGTTTGGCGCATGCGCAGAAGCAGCAGGTCTCTGACACGGCCAATAGGAAACGATTGATGATGATGTCACTGCTAGCTCCACCCCATTTGTTTATGTTTTGACTGCATCTGTCAGACATTATGCGGCGGGAGTTCATCAAATGCGTAAATTTTTTTTCTTTTTCTTTGATATTTTTTTATTATTTTCTTGACTTTTTTTTATTTTCGTATTTTTTAAACATTTTTTAAAATACTTTTAAAACTTTTTTCCCCCCATTATTTCCATTGCTTTCTATTCTGCTCGCTACCACTGAGGTACCGAGCAGAATAGTGTAGCTGAAAGCCGTTCGGCCCCTATGAGAATGTTGGATCGGCTGAGTCAAAATCCTTCCGCGCTTTGGCTCAGCTGAACTTGCAGAGCGTGTTCGGCTGACCGAAGTGCAGCTGAAGGCAGCCGATGTACAGCTGATTTTAGCTGATGTACGGCTGAAATCAGCCGTACAAGACTGAAGTGAATAGCCGAACAGCATTTGGCACACTTCACTTCGGCTCGGTTAAAGGAGAACTATGGGGGTCAGTGTTTTTTTAGACACAAACTAGCGTCCTCCCGTTACCCCAAGCTCAGTATACCGCGAGCTGCAGCTCGCGGTATACTGAAACGCCAGAGCGGATCCCGACATGGACGTCGAGATCCGCCCAGCTGCATGAGTGACATGGCTCTGCCTATCTAGAGGCAGATGCAGCTGTACCCCCCCTCTCCCCCGTCCTTTCCGCCAGTCAGCGCTGGCAGATCGGAGCGGGGAGGGGGGAATCCAGCCCCTCCCCTGTCCCGGCAGAGAGCCGTGACAGGATCGAGAAGTGAGCGAACGCCGGTATGTGTTCGCTCACTTCCCGAGCTACTGAGCCGACCTGTGGCAGTCTCATTGTGGAAATCACTCATCTCATAGTTCTCCTTTAATCACTCGGCAGCTTTGTGAATGACCCCCATTGATTTGTAACATTGATTTGTAACAAAGCCGGAATAAGATTGTAACAGTGACAACTTTGTAACGATTTGTATTGGTATGTATGAAGTCCGATGTTTATCTGTCCTTTCCTCTTGTATCTATTAGGCCCTCTTGGTGCCTCTTTGATTCTACGCCAACCACGGCATCCCTCCTTCTTTTATTGTCTTGTATTCTAATGATCATCTCATTTCCTTCTCTGCTTCCCGCCTGTCGGCGTACAATCCAGAAATCTAGATGCAGCAGCTGTCTGTGCCTCGGTGGCGGTGACCCCGGTTCCCCCGACCCCCGTGTCCCAGACATGGTTGATGTGGGTCATACATGACGGTTTTTGGGGCTAGTCACCGCAAGCGGATTGATGACGGGAGAGGTTTGAGGTGTCTCAGCTGCTCCTGCAGTTGAATCATAAGGAAGCGTCTGGCGGGCTGTGTGATTCGGGAATTCATCATGGAGAAAACATGTATGGGAAGGATTTCTGAGAATCTAGAGCCATAAGAACGATAAACGCACAATGAAACCCTGCAAATGTCCCAGTATAGATTGATGACACCTCTGCTCAGATTTAAAGCGGCCTCTCAATTCCTGACATGTCACAATATGCAGCAACAGTATCATTACAAAAGTTGGTTTATGATTTATCAATAAAAAGCAATCCTTGAGCTCCAATGACTTTATCTAGGCTGAGATGATGTCAGTAGTCTGCTGCAGGCTGGAGGAAGCATGTCCTCAGTCTCCCCTCACCCAGTGATAAATCAGCTGCAGGCAGGAAGAAGCATTTCCTCAGTCTCCCCTCCCCCAGTGATAAATCAGCTGCAGGCAGGAAGAAGCATTTCCTTACTCCCCCCTTCCTCAGTGATCAGTCTGCTGCAGGCAGGAAGAAACATTTGCTCAGTCTCCCCTCCCCCCACCCCAGTGATCAGTCTGCTGCAGGAAGCTGCACTAGTGATCAGACTGCAAGAAGAATCTCAGTCTGGCAGATGTGACAGCAAAACTTCAGGTGAACTGATAATTATATCTGTATACTAACTTGCAGCTCCACAGACAGAAGAAGGGCAGGCATAGTGTACTGGGACTTGTAGTTCCACAGAGACAGACGGGTATAGCATGCTGGGACCTTCAGTTATTACATTATTATTATTATTATACAGGATTTATATAACGCCAACAGTGTGCGCAGCGCTTTACAATATAAGGAAGACATTACAGTCACAATACAATTAAAGACAAGATGGTAAGGAGGGCCCTGCCCCTGAGGGCTTACAATCTAAAACCAGTTCTACAGAGACAGGAAAATGTCAGGTATAGTGTGCTGGGACCTGTAGTTCTACAGAGACAGACAGGTATAGTGTGCTGGGACCTGTAGTTCTACAGAGACAGTCAGGTATAGTGTGCTGAGACTTGTAGTTCTACAGAGACAGTCAGGTATAGTGTGCTGAGACTTGTAGTTCTATAGAGACAGGCAGGTATAGTGTGCTGGGAATTGTAGTTCTACAGAGACAGGCTGGTATAGTGTGCTGGGACTTGTAGTTCTATAGAGACAGACAGGTATAGTGTGCTGGGACTTGTAGTTCTATAGAGACAGTCAGGTATAGTGTGCAGGGACTTGTCATTCTACAGAGACAGTCAGATATAGTGTGCTGGGACTTGTAGTTCTACAGGGACAGGCTGGTATAGTGTGCTGGGACTTGTAGTTCTACAGAGACAGGCAGGTATAGTGTGCTGGGACTTGTAGTTCTATAGAGACAGTCAGGTATAGTGTGCTGGGACTTGTAGTTCTACAGAGACAGTCAGATATAGTGTGCTGGGACTTGTAGTTCTACAGAGACAGACAGGTATAGTGTGCTGAGACTTATAGTTCTACAGGGACAGTCAGATATAGTGTGCTGAGACTTGTAGTTCTGCAGAGACAGGCAGGTATAGTGTGCTGGAACTTGTAGTTCTACAGAGACAGTCAGATATAGTGTGCTGAGACTTGTAGTTCTACAGAGACAGACAGGTATAGTGTGCTGAGACTTGTAGTTCTCCGCGCGTTGTACGGACCGTGAAAGTCATTTCTTCGAGGCTTTCATGAAACTCCAGCTGACTGGATTCTATTCAGGAGAATTGATGGATAGCATGTGAGCAGCTGGGGATTCGGCCCAGTGAAATTTTATTAGCTGAAGGGTCCCCCGTAGCAGCTGCTAACGTCTGGCGTAAGGCCATCGCATACACTGCGCACATTCCAGCCCTATTTATAATATGACTAATAAAGACATTGAAATGGGCTCCATTCAGAGGATCACAAAGCTGGCTGCACGCCTGTAGCCTCAAATTACCAATTTGATTCATTCCTATATACAAATCCCAACGTACTACAACATTGGGATGATCTCTATATACATAACTGGACATAAGCCCATGCACTGGCACTGAGCATGCCCTTGATGTTCTACAGCTAGCACAGCCAAGTCCTGATTGCCTTAGAATAGTCACATGATATTTAGAGCAGTGGTTCTCAACCCGCGTAACCTCGGGACCCACATTTGTCCTCGGTCATTAAGTTGCGACCCAAGTTGCACTGCAATGGAACGCACAACATTAGGGTACTGCATGTTTTGGTGCGGACTTACGAACTGCGGGTGAGAGATGCGTTTGGGGTACCATACAAATGAATAGTCACTTTGGTCCAGGCACCTCTATAGAACACGTGAGGGAGCTTTAAGCAATGCACTGCAAAGCAATGCTGGAGCTCCCTCGCGGCCATAGCCCCATCCCACCTCAAGCTGAAACTCTGCGCCGGGCAGCATATTTTGAATGGCCGCTTGGCACGAGAACTGACAGTGCTGCACTGGGGGGGGGCTGAGAAGCCTCTCGCCTAGAAAAGTGGAAGGCATGCGGCGACCCACTGAACACGGGGTCGCGACCCACTTTTGGGTCACGACCCACCAGTTGAGAACCAAGGATTTAGAGCACCAGCTCTTGCCATTAAATTTTAAATGTCCACTTTACAGGTTGATTACTCCCAGACCTCACATTTAAATAGGTGGGGACTTCCCATCATGCCAACATTACAATTTGGTCTTTTCCAGACCCCACCTGTAAATATGTGGGGACGCACCATCATGCCAGTGTTACAGGTTGGTCTCTCCCAGACCCCACCTTTAAATATGTGGAGATGCCCCATCATGCCAACAATACAGGTTGGTCTTTCCCAGACCCCACCTTTAAATATGTGGGGATGCCCCATCATGCCAACAATACAGGTTGGTTCCTCCCAGACCACACCCCTAAATATGTGGGGACGCCCCATCATGCCAGCGTTACAGGTTGGTCTCTCCCAGACCCCACCTTTAAATATGTGGAGATGCCCCATCATGCCAACAATACAGGTTGGTCTTTCCCAGACCCCACCCCTAAATATGTGGGGACGCCCTAGCATGTCAACGTTACAGGTTGGTCTCTCCCAGACCCCACCCCTAAATATGTGGGGATGCCCCATCATGCCAACAATACAGGTTGGTCTTTCCCAGACCCCACCCCTAAATATGTGGGGACGCCCTAGCATGTCAACGTTACATGTTGGTCTCTCCCAGACCCCACCTCAACCCTTATTGTACCCTATTCCTCTCTAATGAACCGCTTCTTCACCTTCTCTCCATAATCATTATTTTCCTGCTGATTTATTTTATTATTTCCATGTTTCTAACCATGTGTAAACTTTTTTCCCATATATATATATATAT